CCCCCCCCCCCCGCTCCTGAGAGGCACATATGGACTCTAAGGCGACGCGAAGCAACCGACGACGAACTAAGCGGGCCTCACGCTCAGTTTCGTGAATACGGAAACGCTCGGCCTCTGGGACCCTGGCCTGGGCGGCGGCCTTTCCCGCAAGAACATCTACGCAAGCGTTGCCCTGGATGGGCCGGGATGGCCAGCCTTGGGCCACAACGTCGCTGCCTTCGAGGTGAGACGGGACTTGAAGTGCTGACGCGTGGTGCGACGGGCGCGACTGGGCGCGCAACAGACTACCTATGGCTCGCCAGATGTCTGCCTGCGGCCCTGCTGGTGCCTCGAACACTCTGTCGTGCCACCCACGGGCAACCTCGGCACAATCGGTGACATACACAAGCCACCCTTCTGAAAACCTGAGGGGCCACTCGAAACTCAAAAGCTCACCCCGAGGCACCGTCTGTGATGGGGCCTGGGAGAGGGCCTGTCAAGTGAGGCTCTAATATGCACGGTGAGAAAGACTGGAAAGCTGCCACGGCCAATCCTACTCTTCTGAGCCCGGGGTCGTGAGTGTCCTTCCCCCCTGAGGCGTCTCCGAAAATGATGACTGGGCAATCTGCGCCCCCGCTCCCGAGGCACCCTGGCCCGGGAGAGCCTCCAATCAGCGAGTTCCCAAGGAAGCCCTCGGAGGAGGGAGGAGGGGAGACGGCCGTCCAAGCAGCATGGATGATGCCTCTCATCCAAAAAACTGGGGGCGTTTCCTGCTCAGCTAACGCTTCTGGAACCAGCTCGTCGGACAAGGCGAACGCGGGCGAACCTCGATTTTTGCTGCAGGTCCAGCACCTGTGCACTGGCGTATCCGCGGCCTCCTGGCAGCGGAGGCAGAGGTCGCTGTCGGCGAGCTTCTCGTCGTACTTCCTCTGCTGCGGCCAGCAGCCACCTGCCGCTATCGTGACCATGGGCTCAGAACGTTAACGTCCACGATGAGCTCGCAGCAGCGCTGAGATGCACTGCCTGTAGCTCTGAAGGCCGGCGCCGCTCTCAAGCCCTGCCCCGCAATGCTGCTGAGCTGCTTCGCTCCACAGTTGAGAACCGAGGGTGGCCTCAAACTCGTCCAGCAACGGCTGTGCCTGGTCAAGGCCGACGAACGCCTCATCGTGGAAGTGCCACGTGTGGGTGCCCCCCGTCCTGTCATTCGGTACCTGCCAAGCTGTAGCTGAGTCCGCTGTCCATCCCGCCTGCATCAAATGCAGCATG